CGCTTTTTTTGCTCTTATAATTTTCCTTATTTTCGCGTTTAGCAGTGCCGGAAAGTACTTTCTAGACACCGCACTTGAAAACTGATTACACCGTTAGATTCTACGCACTTTTTTACATACTTCAATCCCTTCAGTGCTTTCCAAATCCTCTTTATCTCCAAGAAATTTCACGAGCGCTTTTTGTCGCTTTTATGATTTTCCTCATTTTCGCGTTTAGCTGTGCCGGAAAGTGCTTTCTAGACGCCGCACTTGAAAACTGATTGCACCTTTAGATGCTGCGTACTTTTCTACATACTTCAACCCCTTCAGGGTCTTCCAAATCCTCTTTATATCCAAGAAATTCCACGATCGCTTTTTTGTGCCCTTATAATTTTCCTTATTTTCGCGTTTAGCAGTGCCGGAAAGTACTTTCTAGACTCCGCACTTGAAAACTGATTATACCGTTGGGTTCTACGCACTTTTTTACATACTTCAACCCCTTCAGTGTTTTCCAAATCCTCTTTATCTCCAAGAAATTTCACGAGTGCTTTTTTTTGCTCTTATGATTTTCCTTATTTTCGCGTTTAGCAGTGCCGGAAAGTACTTTCTAGACGCCGCACTTGAAAACTGATTGCACCGTTAGATTCTACGCACTCTTTTACATACTTAGACCCCTTCAGTGTTTTCCAAATCCTCTTTATCTCCAGGAAATATAACGAGCGCTTTTTTTTGCTTTTATAATTTTCCTTATTTTAGCGTTTAGCAGTGCTGCCATGTACTTTCTAGACACCGCACCTTAAAACTGAATGCACCATTGGATTCTACGCACCTTTTCACATACCTTGACCCCTTCAGTGTCTTCCAAATCCTCTTCATGTCCATGAAATTCCACGAGCGCTTTTTTTTGCTCTTATAATTTTCCTCATTTTCGCGTTTAGCTGTGCCGGAAAGTACTTTCTAGACGCCGTACTAGAAAACTGATTGCATCGTTAGATTCTACGTACTTTTTTACATACTTAAACCCCTTTAGTGTCTTCCAAATCCTCTTTATATCCAAGAAATTCCACGAGCGCTTTTTGTCGCTTTTATGATTTTCCTCATTTTCGCGTTTAGCTGTGCCGGAAAGTGCTTTCTAGACGCCGCACTTGAAAACTGATTGCACCTTTAGATGCTGCGTACTTTTCTACATACTTCAACCCCTTCAGGGTCTTCCAAATCTATGCGTCCGTGTTGTTCGAAAACAGGACTGAACCTGCATAGATTTACTGAGAATTTGTTGTTTGTAATGCATCCTAAGCGACCTTGATCGAATTATAAGTATAATTGGCGGCTATCTGTTGTGTGTATGTATGTACGTGTATGTGTATGCATGTGTACAATGAGTGTAATTATAATGAAAGAGGCTTTTGTTTTTCGTTTTCCTCATCGCTTGTGAATGTTATTAATAATATTTATTGACCATGAATGTTACATAATAAACATAAGAGAAAACGTCGCAAAACAGGACTGAACCTGCATAGATTTACGTTGAATACTTTGTGATGTAATTGAACTTTGGTTTTTGGAATGTTTGTGTAGACAAGAGGAATCGACACAAAACAGGACGGAACCTGCATAGATTTACTGAGCGTTTACGTTTTATTGGTAAATAATGAAACACACAAACAAATAAGTAATTTTATTTGTATATGTAGTAATATGTACGAGTAGTTACATGTAAATAACATCTTAAATAACATCTTAAATAATATATAAAATACTTAAAACTATGCTAATTTCTTTTAAAAATAAAACATTATTGTTAGTAAAATTATAAATAATAAACTTTTACAAACAAAAGTAGTAATTAATGTGTTTGTAATTACGTAGAATATTTAAAACAGTCTATTTTAAACGTTATTTATATCCCCATGGATACGTATCCGTTGTTAAAGTATTTATTATTCTCTTGTCATCATATGGGCTAAGTGCGACCTTTCTTTGTTTGACTGTATAGACGTTATGTTTTTTAGAAATAATTAAATTTTGATTGGCCTCTATGATTTGATTATAGA